CAGAGTCACGCACGTTCCCGTCCTTTTTGTGTGCCGGCCTGATAAAAAAATCCTACGAGCTACTTTATCTTCTCAATTCTAAAGCCTTTCAGCCTCTTTAGTTCGCCTAGCGCAAAACTCTCTGCCCGTGAACTTTTGTTTCGTTCTCGACGACGTTCGGAAAAAAAGAACCGCGGTCTCTATCTTTATGTCTCTCTCTCGTTCTCGCGCTCTCTCGCTCTTTCTCTCTTTCGCAATAAACGCACTCAGCCTCAGTATAATCCTACAGCGTCAATATATCAATTTTTTATATATATATATATATATTTATATATATATAATATACTTTTTTCTCATATATATATTCACTTTGTGTTCTATATCAATAATAGCGTATTAGATACTTTTTTTTGTTCACTTACGTCTTAGGTATGTAATATAGGTATATTCTTTTTTTTTTCACCATCTGTTCACAGATACATATATGTATATATCAAAATGTGGAAACGAAAGGGTCCTCTCGAAATAGCCGTTCTCCGTTCGGTCGGTCAGCTGTTCCGCTTTCATTTTTTTTCTCCCCCTATGCTCTTTTCTCCCTCCTACCTAAAAATGCGTCGACTTTATTTGCATTGCCGGGAAACGAAAAAGGAAAACATTTCGAGAATATGCCATTCAGGGTATTACCTGTGTGGATTGATCCAAAACACAAATTTTGTCGGGTAGTTTGTTGCTTCGGACATTCACTCTGACACGCACACAGAGTTCGTAGATACATTGCGCATTCGACATATAGGAGGGTTCTCGTCGGTTAACTGAATATCTCGCTCATTGCGCAACCACGTTTTTTTTTTTTTTTGCAAATAGACGGAAAATCTCGAAAGGGGGATTTTTCTCTTCGCGAATAGTTCAGGAACTGTCGAAAAATTTTGCATTGAAAAATTCTGTCACTGCAAATTTATATCGACCATCGAATTCGGCTCGATTTGGATTTGAGGATTATATCGAGTTCGAAAAATGGGACGCTCCGCACGTTTACAGCGTCAATTGTAATTAGAAATTAAACAATCTCTCAAGGAAATAAATACAAAATAATAATATAAAAGAATACAGAAAGGTTTCCTTTTCGAAACTATCATTTGACTTGTTGTTCGTTTTAATCGAGAATAAAATCATATCATCTATATCGACGAGCGCCACGGAGAAAATGAAATATCAACTCGAAAAAAGCGATATGTCAAGCTTGCGCAACGTATCTACAAACAAGATCACACGAGTAATGCATTCAGCAGAATTTCGAATGACTTTTCTCGTCGCTTAGTCAAGTGGTCACGGTCTACGGGACACTTAATTTTTTTTTTTGGAAGGCACTTACTACTTTTTTTCTTTTTATACAATATTTAATTTTAAACTCTTCCGCATTCGCTCTCTCTCTTCCCCACGCTCTCGCGACCTCGTGTACTCTCCCTTTCTCTCGCTGTTCTTTCTCTCCTCCTCTTGCACTTGAATTTTTTTCGCGATTCGGCTTGCGCTTCTCTATTAAATTTCGGCTCCTCGTCCGCGCAACCCTTCTTTTTCTCCCCGTTCCCTATTTTTCTTCTCAGTTTTTTTTTTACCGTCGCACATCTCGCGCGAATTTACGTTTGAACACATTAATGCCTAAATGGTAAATAGAATTCGCGCTTTCCGAATTTCTCGCCGAAATGAAAAACGTGGTCGATTGAAGTCTCGCAACGCGTATACTAATAATAAATCGCCGTTTGTGTCGCCTCGCGACACCGTCGCGTTTTCGCACAAAAGTTTGTATCAAGAATAACGTGTTACTTTTTTCCCCCCTTTATTTTCGACTTGCCTGATGTTTTGTCTCTTAGTCTCTTAGTCAGATACATGCTACGATCGCGCGATCCCCTTCTCTTACCCCTTTTCCCTTCCCTTCTTCACCGGAAAATATTCTGGCTGCATGAGCGTGGCGCGAGAATCAATTTTTTTTCTTCCTGCGATTTTTTTTACCCTCTCTACCGTAAAGTTTTCCAGACAAACGGATAACACGGATGGCTCGTTTCGCCAAAAGCCTCGTACGAGCAAAAGCGAAAAGCGATGATCTTTCCCTTTCACCGAAGGCCACTTCGAATTTTTTTTTGTTTACTTTTTACACTTACAAGGAGTCTCTTTCTCTCATTCTTACTGGCATTCCTCTCGCACTCTTCCTCTTTCTCTCTCCCGAACCAGCGTGCCGATGTTAGAATATATCCAGAAAGTTCTGTTTTCGCGACAGATACGTTTAGGATTAAGCTATTTGAAAAATTACGATCCTTTTATAGTCGATCAAAGATATAAATGATCCAAAACGCGAGGATCTTCATATTAACATCATCAAAAGTAATACTTCGCGATAATCAAATCTGAGATGGTTGAATCGAATTTAGCGCAGACGATCAATTACAGGGGTCCAATAAATTCAATTCCAATAAATCGTGCACAATTTTGTTCAATTTGCTCGACATTATAATAAAAATCGCCTACTTATTAATGACAGTGGTCAAATGGAGGAAATCTACGTATTAGACACCGTCGAAAGGCGATACTTGGCGTTAATCAAGTCTTAAAACTCTACAGATCGTTCTGAATTTAGCAAAGGCGATTAATTACAATCTTCAATAAATCCTATTAGTGCATAATTCCGCTCTAATTTTGCACGGTATCAAAATACCTCGTCACTTTAACGGATTCTCGGCACGGCTCGTTCATCGATTGTCGAGGATTCGAGATCCCTTCGCGGAATCATCGCGCGACGTGTGTAAAATTTTGAAAAATAGCACGATCTTTCGAAAGAAGAACACGTATACGAGTTTTTGTTTCTCTCTCTCTTTCTCTCAAGCCACATTCGCTCCCACCGTCCGTACTCGCGTTCACACACGCCGTTCACGCTCGCACGCAGACTCATATATTCAGGCTCGCAATCTCGCATCGATGCCAGACACTCGTGGTCGCCGAACTCTCACCGAAATTTCGACACGGTCTGTCGTGTCGAGCCACAGTTTCTCGTCCCTAATCCCTAAACCTTATAATTTTTATACTTGGCATACCCCAAATATGGCAGGAAGGCAATCATTATACTTAATAACTTTATAGCGATCATCTCGGCCTAGAGTGTGCTCGCTTTATAAGCCGTTGAATTTGTTTTCTCCGTCTCTAAATACTTTTGTCGTACCTTTTTCCCTCCGTCGCTCTTTCTCTCTTTCGCTCTTTAATTTTCTTTTTTGCTCGTTTGCTTGGTAGACAATCATAGTGAATTTTGTACATCTCCCTTACTTATCGAGCTTAGATCGGTGACGTCGCTTACTGCCTGGCGTCAAAAGGATGGTATTTCTTGCACAAAGCGTCGCGGATAAAATTGAGATTTTCTGTTCCGAAGAGATTCATATAGATAAAAGCGCTAGACTTATCTTTAAGACGTTCGATATACGTAAAAAAAAGGAAAATATTTCTATTAGTGGATTTATATAAGCAATTTAAAACCAGATCTATTTTGTCTAAAAGCAAGATTTACGTTCTTAGAATGATTTATACAGAAATAGAAAATGAGAGTTCGCGATCTCTGTAATTTATTACTTTCATATTATATATATGTATATACCGCTAATAAACCTTACTTTTATAGTCTTAAAATAATTCCAAGCAAATCTTTTGCGACACCTAAAAATTAGGGTATATCACAAACTGATCCATGACACGTTGTGTAAGGACTCGATAGTACAACGTGCAGCTCTCTTCGAGGCGGTTTCTTACTTTCTCGTCGATACCCGTCTCGAATAATCAATCATTCGGCAGTAGGCGACCCCTTACGAGTTATTATACATTTGGCATTAAAAGTACAATTATCGTATAATGCGTAGGTATAAATTTCGAGTGTGTATCTTGTGTATGTACGGCGCGCTCGTGTGTCTGTTTGTGTATGTGTGTGTGAAAGTGTATGTATGTCCATACGTGTGCGCGTGTGTGGCGTGTGTGGGTTTTACCTTTATTACATGTACATAGTCTGTACGACACGACGATGACACGACTATCTAGATTGGAAAAAGGTGGCGGCGCGCTCGCGAGGCGCCGGCGACCCAATAGCTATAGTATGTTTGCTAAAAGAAGGTTTTACTCTCTCTCGCTCTCTTTCTCTTTCTCTCTCTCTTTCTTTCCCTCCGTTTCTACTTTCCCACTGTCGAAGGATCGACCGTGCGCGATCCTCGTCTAGGACGGGGGCCACTACCGGTTTTTCGATCGTCCTTTCCCGAAGCTGTGAGCCAGGCGAGAATATCTCGACACTCGCTTATCTCGTCCGCACTCTGTGTCTCCGTTAGTTTATTTTTTTTTCTTTTGATTGTAAGCCTCTCTTTCTCTCTAACATCCCTCTAAGATATTCGTATGCACAGTACATCGCGCTCGCGTATAACGTTCGGAGTCGCGTATGCGTTATATATACTATAAACTCCCGCGAGGAGGTGAAGTCGAATCGGACAAGAGGTCGATTCTTCGCGAGAAGCCTACCGGTCCTCCGCATATCACCGGTCCTCAGCCGCTGACGGCCTCGAAGAGAGAGAGATCCTCCTCGGGGTCATCGATGCGCCTCCTCGTCCTTCCACGGCCGGCGATCCTGCAGCGGCTGACGTCGTCGTCGTCTCTCCTCCTCGTTCCGCGGCCACCGAGATGGCTTACTATTCGCAGCGCGAGTCCGTGAGCGGCTCGAGCTTCACCGGGATCTTGTCCTTGTCCTTGAGACCGTGGGGGCTCTTCACCAGATCGGCGATGTCCTCCTGGAAGAGATTCTCCGGACGCGGACTGACGAAGCTTCGTGCCGGCTTGTACGTCATGCCGCTCACGCCGATGCCGACCTCCACGCTGCTGGGTATGTGGCCCGACGGGTCCATCAACGGACCCAGCGGGCTCGCCAACGGACTCTCCAACGGGCTCTCGGGCGGTCCGCCCGAGCCCGGACTCGCCAGGCCGAGATTCAACGGGGAATTGCCGTTGTTGTTGCCGGCGCTGTTACCGCTACCGAGGATGCCGCTCGCGTTGCTGCTCGTGTTGTTGTTGTTGTGGTGCTGACTGGCCTGCATCGCCGCCTGCAGATTCGACGACAGACTGGTGGACAGGTTCGTCGACAGGTTCGTCGCCATCATGTCGTGCTGCTGCGAGTGCGCCGCTGCCACCATGCTGCACATCTGGTGTCGCAGACCTGGACGAACATCGAAAGTCATGTAGAAAATTATGTAGAAAGATTGGAATCTTGACCGAATAATTGAAATTGCTTCACCAGCAATTTCTGATGAAATTAGCACTACATTTTTCAGAATTTCGATATAATTGACAAGATTTAATCCTTCCCCAAAGTTTCTGATACACTTTGAAAAGAGAGCTATTAAATGTAAACAGCATTTCTTTTGAGCGGAAAACTATACTAGAAATTTTTTCACGTTTAAATATTTTTAACGATTACGTAAAATTAAAAACTCTTGCAGATTTCTCTAGACATTATAGTAATAAATACGAGAAAAATCGCCTGGTCTAGGCATTTTAACGAAACGAATATCGCGACTGTCCCGTAAGTAGAGCGTCAATCTCGGAAAAGGAAGGAAAAAAGAAATAGAGAAGTGTGAGAGAGAGATTATCTGGTGTTGTCATTACCTTGAGCGACCGCCGCGACCGCAGCCGCTGCTGCCGCACCCGGACTGACCGCGCCTTCCGGGCCGTTGCAGGCCGCGTAGTTCGCCAGGCTGGGGTACATCGTGGTCGGCTCCTCCTTGACGATGTGGGGCGAGTGCCCGTCGCGGAATACCACCGCGCGAATCACACCGCGGATGTGCTCGTCCGGCCAGACGCCCAGCAAGATCCTCTGCGGTCTTCCTCGTCCCTTCGGGCGCAGATCTGCAGGTGGTTGGGTAGGAAGGGGGGTGGAGGAAGAGGGGGACAACGAGGAAGAAGAAATTCATTTCACTGCAAATCGGTTCTGTGATCGTGCACGGGTCGCGATATGGGCCCGCCGCTACTCGTTTTCCCGTTGGCGGGTTTATTCTTCGGGAACTCGCGGCAATTCGCGTCTCGTAATCTCAGGGGCAGGGAATTAAAATTAAACAGATTCGAGAAAGAACGAAGGGGCGAGATCCTTGCGCGACGCGCGAAGAATCGCCGGACTTTATCAATGAATAAAATCTCCATAACGTGAGCCTTGCCGCTAAATAGAGACGCGAAACTCGGAGAAAGTTAATAATCGATAGGAAAATTTTTTTTAATCGTCTGTTCGTTAACTAATTAATAAAGGATGTTTTAATGATACGCTCGATCGGTGTTTACAGGATGTTACATGCTAATGACGCGTAACTAAGCGTTACCATTAGGTATTAGATCCGGTCGTAATTGCGGCTTTTATGGGCGTAACTGACTTTTCAGACTTATTCTTCTCCCGGATCGAATGCCGTTTATCAACTATTTACAATTGGCCACGCCGTCGCGGTCCATTACGGTCCTTCTTCAGACTGAGACCTTGAGAACGATTTAAAAGCCATGTTGAACAACGTATGAAATTTCAGACTCGTTTCCTTATCCCGTCTCGGGCTTATGAAGTAAATAATAAAGGAATAAAATATATCTTTTTTATATCTTGAGACGTAAGCGTAAATTTTTCGTCACGGTTTTATTTTCTGAACTACAAATTCTATAAATTTTTCTCTTCGCGGACAACCATCATTTTTTCATGTTCAAGTATTTTTACGATTACGTGAAGTTAAAAACGAAAATACAAACTTGACTTCTGCAGGCACAAATTCTAAGAAAATTTTTCAACCGTCTTCTTTACAATGTGCCCGCGCCTAATGCCGCGACTCTCGACATTTCCGGTGTTACAATAATATCCGCTGCACTTTGGTTTGGTTGTCGGCATCGATCTCGCCCTCGTCATCGAGAAACGCATTGTTAATCGAGGAGCGGGGGCGTTTTCAGAGGATACTGAAAATGGCAACTAACACTCACCGGCCCCGCCGTCGGCGCTAGGACCCAGCATGTTGTGCACTCGATTCGCGTACAGGACGAACGTCGGGTAGGGGATATCGTATTTCCTGAAAGGTAGAAGCGGGGATACAATTATGATTTGTAGCTTATAATTATAATCAACATAATTTATAGCTTTGCCCGCTCCGCCGCCGCGCCGTCGTGTCTTACATAGCATTACGTTACGTCTCTTAATTAACTTTAGTTATTCTATCCCGCGGATGTATTTTAATGCTATTTTATGTTTATCCCATTTCATTACGTATTTCACTTTAATTTATATTAATTTTATCATACCGACGGAGTATGAAAGATTCAGCGAAACATATTTGAATGTATGACGATGGAAATTATGCAATCTCTCGAAATTATGCAATCGCGCGGGGGAGTACTGGCGATGACGTTGTGTGTTTAACGAAGTAACGTAGAAGCTCCTCGCGAGGAGCAACGCTAAAAATCGCTCGTCTTGTACTCCTAT